CCCCCCGCTTTTTCCATGGCTTTGGTGGTTACAAAGTATCAGTTAGACGTAAGTTAAAGTTCTTTGGGCTTTTCAAAAGCGTTGGTTGGGTAGTACAAATAGAAGGATCTTCGATAAAGATGTGTGTTGTACCTCTGGGCTCTGAGCTCCAAGCTGTTGCCAACTTCTTTCACCACTTAGCGTCAATTGGGTCCAGACGACATCTCTCTTCATCTAATGCAGCCAGTTTTTCCACAATAAAAAAAGGCAGATGCACGCTCTTATGTACTTTCACTTTTGCGGCTCGTTGCTTGCGTGTTCTGCTTTGGAGCCATGTCTCGCATCACCTTGGCATACCGTGGCCGTACCTATCGCCCATCCCTGGCACATTGTCATGCACGTGTTTTTCATGATGAGGTCGAATTCCTGAAGACACATCCTGGATGGCTTGGGCAGAGCTGGACACACGGGCAATTTGCAGAAATTGTCTCTGCGCTTGAGTGCGTCTTTGGACAAGCTGCTGCCCCATCTTTCGCTGCTCGGATTCGAATACGCAGAAGATATCGCGGCAGTGACCTATCCCTTACGGTTCCAGAGCCTTTCTTCTTTCGAGCTACTGTTGCGATTGAAAGTCTCTTGACCTCTTCAGAAGTAAGCCTTGAAGACATGCGGGTCCAGTGGAAACGTTTGGTCGTGGTGGGATCTGCACATCTCGGGGCAGTCTTTGCCCGGGGCACCAACCATTCGCTTCCTGCAGCCATCCCTCGCCCTATAGCGACGTTTGGGCAAGTGTGGGAAACAATTTGTTCTTCTTCCTGCCTACAACATATGCACTACACAAAAGCTGTTTTCACTCGCATTTGGGCAGCATGTGTTACCCATTTCTCTGATGCCGCTGGTCGCACTTCCTCCACTCTGGTTTCCCGCTGCTTCGGCCGCAATTGGACCATGCAGGTGCTTCTTGCAGATGTTATCCCTGCGCAGTTGGCAATTGAGCAATTGCTTCTAGATATGCCGGACAGCCTTGAAGCCATGAACACTGCATGGCATGCATTACAAGATCGGTTTCCCCTGCCCACCGTGCGAGACATTCCTCCAGATGTCCGTTTTGGGGCAATGACTTTTACATATGATATGGCTCCGGCCGCATTCGCTCCTCGGCACTATTCGTCTGACCCTGTGGCTGACATACCCTGTTTTGCGTCGTCTTCCCCGCTGGCCAGGCATTTCTGCCAGCTTTGCGGCTTCCATACTCCAGCCGAAAGTGTGTGGGAGAAACACCTGGAGGACCATGGCGGGCCAAGCTCCTACCGAGCCCAAGTGCTGGCCACCGAAGCGCAGAAATGGCCCGCTGCAGTGGATCCCACTGTGATACGTCACTGCGTATCTCAGTATGCGCAGACCTTCTGGGAGCGCATGTCCACCGCTACAACTTTTTGTGGCTGTTGTGCTATGCCCAGTACATTCTCTGCAGTTCAACAACATGACCTGCGCTCGGCAGATTTCTCCCTGAACGAGCTCCACGAACTGTTTTCTGCGCAGAGTTATTTGACTGCTCACAGTGCACTGTATCCAGAGTTTCCTCCTGCTTCTTTCGTTGGCTTACCGTTTGACGTGCTTCTGCAAGCTGGGGTCCCCTGTCCTTTGCCTTTAGCATCTGGCTTCACGGATGCTTGGCTGCTGCGTCTGAATACTCTGGCGCTGAATGAATGGACAGTGGCTGCTGACAATCCTGAAGTACCTCTTCACATTTCTTTGTGTTCAGATTGCTGTGGTGCCCTCAGAGGCTCACAACCTCGCATGCCAGCACGAGCTTTGGCGAATGGAAACCTTTGTCTTTCTTTTCCGTCAGAGTTGCGCGGCCTGTCTTTTGCTGAGCGCATCTTTATTGCTCGCGGCTTCACACTACGGCGGCTGCATACTTTGCCTGGTCGTGCAGCTCCACAAGATCGCCAAAAGGCTATGTCTGGCAATGTTGTTTCTTTTCCGCAAGAGGCTGCAAGCCTTCTGCGCCATTTGCCGAGACATCCACAAGAAGCATCAGAACTGCTCACGGTTTTCTTTCCGCCCGATCAGGCTCCCGATCCTCGTGCCTATCCTGCGTATGTGGTTCGACGTGATCGTGTTCAATTGGCCTTGGAATGGTTGCAACGTCACAATCCATTCTATGCCGATATGTGCATCGACTTTGAGATTTTAGCCTTATTGCCTCAGGATGGCATTCCATCGGAATTTTTCCTCCCCAGTGCTGACGCTAGCATTCTGCAAGTTGAAGTTGGACCTGCTGATGCCCAAGTCATGGCTGCTGACACCTGTGAGCCAACTCCGCACTCAGATGATGCATCCTCGCATCCTGACCTTCCCTTAGCAGCCGCTGTCTTAGATACAGAAGGCGAGGGGCTAGCTCCAATGGAAATGTGGTCGCACGCTCTGCCACGGCGAGCTGCTTCTCGCCCTGTTGAGGCCCCAACTGTGCCTGCAGAATTTGACGCGATAGTTCCACATGGACCAGATCCTTTGTCCTCTTTTGATCTTGGCTACTGGCCTCTTTGTTTCCCACATTTGTTTCCATATGGAGACGGTGTTGCAGGGGGTGCCAGACGAACCCGATGCTTTGACAAGACGTGGGCACGCCATTTGCTTCTCCGTATGGATCGCGCACCAAAAGACTTCCATTGGAGTCTTGATATCGATTTCATTGCAGTTCTTTTCGGTGTCCTTCATCGAAAAGACTTCCTACAAGCAGTGCAGGCCAAAATACGCACTCCAGGTTTCCTCCGAGTTGCTGCTGATTTTGAACATTTGCTGCACACTGACTTCTCTGAGATCCTTCGTCTCCTTGGCGACTCGGGTGGCCTCCCTGAGGCTTTGCGCAACTCCTGCTGCAAAGATAGTCCATCTAAACAGTAAAAGGCGTCTGATGTTGACATGCATGCCTGCTCTTGTACTTTGCTTCCTGCCCTTTTTGTTCCACTCAGGCAATCCTCTGGCGCCGGACTCTCTGAAGCGAGTGCTTCGGTGCATGGAAATCGTTTCTGGAGTGGTACCTTGTACAGATGCATCACGCCGCCGGATGCGGCATCAGCTCCGCGCCCTACAAGTTTGGCAAGGACTACCCAGCATCTTCTTTACCCTCAATCCAGCTGATACTAGGCATCCGTTCACTCTCTACTACAGTTCTTGTCCTGAGCAGCCATGGCAGCCTTGTTCTACAGAGCACGACCTCACGGAAGCTCTAGCACAAGTGAACTTGTTGCAGAGGATGGCTGCCGATCCCGTTGCAGTTGCACGCGCCTTCCACGAGCACGTGCAACTTTTCCTCAAAGAGCTTCTGGGGTGTATCACACCTGGTGGTGCTGCTTGGGGAGATGGTGTCGCTTCTGGCATGGGTTCTGGGCTTTTGGGCCCTGTTGCAGCATACTATGGGGTTACAGAGCCGCAGCTGCGGGGAAGTTTGCATTTACACATGCTCATTCATTTATATGCCTTTAGTACACCAGCTGCATTTCTAGCTCGGCTGCAAAGCGTCTGGGGCACTTTGGCAGACCGGTTGCTGCAATGGACGTCAAGCCTGCTGGCTACTTCTTTAGAAAGTATTCCACGCGCATGGAATCTGCCATGTGACAGCCAAGCTTCGTTCACTGCCCTGCAACCGCTCCCATATTCTACACGGCAGCGCGCTCTTCTGAGCGCCCACGAGGCAGCGATGTGGGACTTTGACTTGGCGTCACAGACTTGGTTTCTAGCAAGTACTACTGAACATTTCTGTCCCCAGCCTCCATGGTTTGAACCTCCTGCAGATTCTTCAGGACCTGCTTTGCTCTTTGCTCCTTGGCCTCGGCAATATTTGATGCAGGCTGGTGATGCTGCTGATTGGAGCCGGCATTTGCTTTTTGACTTGCGACACTCCGCGCTTCACTGCTGCTTACATGAGTGCCGGCCCCGAACTTGCCACAAGGGCGCCATTGGCCGCTTAGGTTTCTGTCGTATGGGGTTCTGGCATTGGTGCAATGTCAACCCTGCATTGCAGCCACCTGTCTGGCAAAGACGCCACGGTCTTCCCCTTCAAGATCGACCGACTGTTGGCTCGGTACCGCCGTTGGCGGGCGTTTTGCTGACTGAAAGGCATCATCCTTTTCATACACGATTCAACGCTGGGGTCTTGGCAGCGGTCAAATGCAATCATGACCTCAGTGTCCTTGTCCGTGCACCGGAGGCTGCCGCTGCCCTGGACGCAGAACATTTCGCTACCCAATTGGCCTCTTCCACGCAATTGGCTACGTTTTACATAACGGGCTACATGAGCAAGGTGCAGCCTCACCTGACGAATTTGTGGCATCTCTTGGAGCAAGGTCAGCGTCGTTTGGAACACGAACTCCAGCAGCAAGCCTCTGCGGGCGCAGTACTGGTGGGTCCCTCGCTCATGGGCAAGACTTTGAATCGCATGTTATCAAGCTGCCAACGACGAGCGCACAAATCCCTACCTGAAATGTGCCATTATTTACTTGGCTACCCAGAAGCGTACAGCAGTCATGCATTTCGCCCTCTTTTTGTCGGTAATTTGCTCTGCCGTGCTGCTAGCTTGCTGCCCTTGGCCCACACGAATCTTCCTGAGCCTGAGTCTGTGGCGTGGGTGCCACGGGGGCCTGGTGCGAATGACAACACTGAGGGTGCTTCATCGACCGCAGCCCAACCCTCACGTCTGAATCTCATGACGCAAGAACTGGATTATATGCACCGTGGTCCTGCACTGCAACTATGGCCTCTGTACTTTTATGTTGCGGCCGTCTCGCGCTCCACTGGACAACGTTGCTCTGCTGGTGCCTATTTGGAGCCCTTTGCCCCAGACCACCCAAATGCTGCGTATGCCGTGCAGAAGATCGCTCTTACAGATCCTTGGTTGGTGCCGCAAGTTGTCGGCCGTGCAGTGCCTTCTGCAGAGAAAGATCCCGAACTTCGAGCAGTCCTGCTGCTATTGTTGTTCAAACCTTGGTCCCATTCAACTCTGCAAGATCTCCTTCTGCCGTGCACTGTCAATCAGGAAATATCGCCGACGTGGCTTGCTGCGTTCGATGATTTCATGGCCCATACTGCGGCTTTACGGTCCTCACCGGCTACACGCCCAGCACCTTTTACGCCGGAATATTGGGCGCACCGTGCTTTGGTCGCACTTCTCTGTTTGCATAGTACTTTCCCATAAGCTGTTATGTCTCTATCCGCGCGCGGCCCCTGTGCTCTCTGCAGGAGTTTGGGACACTATAGCCAACTTCGATGCCTTAAACGGCAGCCTCATTGACGATAATCTCCGGGCAGTACGACATCATCCTGGCGTTCTTGCTGGTGATGCGGCCGCCTCCGAATTTGTTCCTCCTGTGCCTGGGCCTCACACTTTCGAGGACGATGTCGCCTCCAATCCCTCTGACATGCCCATGGATGAAGATTTTTATGAAGCTGACTTGCCGCTGCACACCGCTTCTGCTGCCTGCATGCACCACTTTGATGAGACGTGGTCTGGTGTACGCTTGTACGCAGAACGCTGCTGCAGTGCACTGAACTTGCGCGCCGCGGAGTATGCTTCAGAATTACACGCTCTACAACAGCGTGTAACAGCACCCTCCCGGGAATTCCGTCATTCTCCTCAATTGCTGCACTCTGAAAGTCTTGCAGCTCGCTTAGAGCAATTGCGCAGTGATGTCCGGCAGTGGCGACAGGCTGCCCAAACAGAAATCGCGCCCACAGTTGGTTCGGCTGCACACGCTCCCAGTCGCTCTTTTGCTGCGCTCCCTGTTCTCCACACAATCCAGGCTTGGCTTGCAGCTGGGTGCTGCAACGCCCCGGATGGCTCCTTGAATGCGAAGCAAGCTCTTTTTTTGGTCGTGTATGGCTTGCATCTACAAGCGCCTTTGCTGCATGGAAGCCTAAAAAAAGCGGGGGGTAAAATTACCCCCCGCTTTTGCTGCCCCCCTACAGTACCCTCTTACATTCTCTTACCAGATATTTTTCTCTGGGGGCTGTTTCTTCTAGGTTTGTTCTTTTGTGTATTCCTTCTGCTTTCTTTTTTCTTGCTGCGCCAGGAACGTGTCTCGGCTGCCAGCGCTTCCACCCATGCCCCACGGGCAGACTTTATCTTACTTGGTGGTCCTGGGACCGGTAAGACCCACATGCTGAAAGAAGTTTTGAAGCTTCAAAATCTTTTCTTCCCACATTCGACGCAACAGTGCTCCTACATGAACAGCGCTGCTCGTCTCATTGGCGGGCGCACCTTACATACAGCATTGGATTTGCCACGGAAAAACCACAAACTAGGTCAACAAAATCTGGTCAGCAGAAAAGAGCAACTCTTGTCCCAGTGGCGTGACATCTTGTTGCTGTGCATCGATGAAATCAGTATGTTGCCTGCCGACTTGTTCTCTGCCTGTGAGCTACGTGCACAACAAGTCAAAAACAATACTGATGCTTTGTGGGGCAACATGTCTTTACTTCTCACCGGCGACTTTTTGCAGCTGCCTCCAGTGGCTGCACAAACCTTAGCTGGCAGCCCTGACGCAATTCCGAGCAGCGCCAGTTCGGCGCCTTCGACAGCCCAGCCAGACCAACGCCGGCTGAACGCAGCACAAGGGCGGCGCCTTTGGCGCGATATCTCTAGATGCGTCCTTTTGAGCGTTTCGCACCGCTCACATGGTCCTCTGCAACATTTTTTGCAGTTAATGCGCACTGGCACCATACCCTCTGCCGCATGGGACGTTCTACTGCGCCGTGTATTGCAGCCGCATGATACTCGTCTCCGGGAGCCCAAGTACTGGTCCAATGCTGCTTGTGTGGGTGTCTTGCGGCATAGCATTCGTGCGCTTGCTTGCCTCCACCGAGCCCATCAATTGGCATTCCTTGCTGGACAACGTCTTCTGCTCTGCATCTGTATTGATTCCTGCCGTCGTGGGGCTGACGGCTCTTTGTCGCATCCAGGACTTCTTCGCTATCTTTGCAGCGTCGACAACTTGACTGAAACACAGAACCTGCCTGGTATCCTCTTTCTCTGGCATGGCTGCGCATTGACTTTAGAGGAGAAGGTGGCTGATCGGTATGGTTTAGTACGCGGCTGCCAAGGCGAGCTCCAACATCTTGTTCTCCATCCAGATGAACCGACATTCGACCTGTCCCCGGACTTGGAGCCGCACATCTTGACATACATGCCTTGCAGCCTTACCTTGCAAGTGCCACAGGCTACTTTTGTACAAAGTGCTTTGCTTGAGTGTGGCCAGTGCGCCTTGTTCCCAATTACTCGAGACTGGCAGCACTCCACTAAAGCAGATGGCTTGCCCTTCTTGGATCAAACTACGCGTGATATGCTGCTGGGATCAACACTATCTATCACGCGGAGGCAGTTCCCATGCACCAACCCATTGGCCTGCACCGCGTACAATCTCCAGGGGCAGACTGTTGCAGCTATGCTGGCCGATTTGAGCCGCCCACTTGGTATGCGGCGCGCCCACACCTCAGTTGTTGCTGACATCTCATTGT